TGTAACCCTAATGGTGCTTTCAGACCAAAAGCGAAGCGAGCGTTCTGGGCAGTGAGTTTACATACAAAGTCAATGCAAAGACGCGTAGAGCCCCAACGCAAAGGAATTCGCATGAGTTGAATATTAGAAGTCGCATGACGCTGAGTCGCGATAGCCTATCAGTGTTGAGATTGTCCATACGTCACCGAGGCTTCAGAGCGTTGTGTGGAGAGGGCCAGGCAGAGCGGGGGATTGAAAATCTGCTGGCTGAGAGCTGCTAAACTTGGGGGAGAGGAGCAGGGAGCAGCGCTGCAACCATTGGACAAATAAACACCCGTAGTCGGTCGGGTTCTGCTCTGACAACTACAGTGTTTACTCGCGGGAGGATCTCGGAGTTAACCGCTTTTATTAAATTAGCTTTTTACTTTAGTTTTTGGGATTTCAACATTGATTTATTTTCACTGGAGCTTCTCAGCAGCTAGCTTCCGTGCACATCCGGTTGTTAGCCTTGTTAGCTCTGTCGGACTACAACTTCATATTTGTATAAAAACCGGACAAAACTGGACATTACTTGGAGAAAAGAAAGCGAGGAGGTTGAACTACCTGGTGAGTTCAGAAAACGTGTCTGTAACTTTATTCCAGCTATCATTGTACTTTACTGTGACCAAGTTAGCATAGCACAGACCTCGATCCAAACTCCATTCAGAAAACAAACATTTTAGAAGTTGTTGTCCTGCTGTCTTGCTGACAGACCTGACAAAGCATGAATTCATATGTTTAACAAATCTGCATCATGTTGTAAATATTTCAGCATCAGTTTAATCCGTTTATTGCTATTTAATCACAGCAAAATGTTTACTTTGGGTTCATATAGTTGTAGTAATGGCGAGTTGTGTTTATTCACGTTATCGCGTTAAAATCGCCTTGCAGCGAATGTACTCACACGAGGAAAGCATCACGAGGAGAAAATTTGCGGTTGGTCTGAATGCGGCATAACCCTAGGTTGTCAGTGCACGTGTGTGCGTGGCGAAAGAGGAGCACTTGCTGAAGAGACGGAGCCCCGGCTTCACTGGAGTTGTGCCGAGTTGACCGCACCTTGCGGGACTTTCGGATAACTTATCAGCATTGATGAACCACACAAAGAATATTATACCGTTTTCAAATAGCCAGCTACTCCAAATAGACCCGCGAGGAACCGCGGTCTTGTGTGAGTTTTGCATGCATGCCGTGCTGCCGACAGCTGCATGCACGCAAAACTCACACAAGGCCGGTGAATGACAGGCGAGAGAGAGAGAGAGAGAGAAAAGGATCTTCAAAAAACCTCAGTTTAGCTGGAAATTTACAGTGTAAGTGGAATGAATAGAGACTGCAGCTCTGCAGCAGCTTCTCAAGATTAAGGGCCTGTGTCCTCCAAAGCGTGGTGAAAACACCACCTGCTGTTCTAAAAACGCCTAGCTGTGAGGCGCAGTGTTTTTTTCGAGACACTGTGGTTGCTATTGGTGCATTCCAGTTGACATGGGAAGTCGGAATTTCCGAGTTCAAAGGTCAAAATTTCAAAGGGAACGCCCCTTAAGTCGGCTTGGGAAGTCGGGAGAACCGCACTACCCGACTTCGTGATCCAAGATGGCTGTCGGGGTATCAACAGTTAGTGAAAGCTGTAGTTTATACTGTTTATTAGCACTTCTGTGTACTTGTGACTCATATAAATATTCGTACAAAAAGTGCTGTCCAACAGCTGTCAGCAGAGGTGTTGCTATAGTGTTTAGTGTGAGTAAATACCGCACAATGCGTTTTTTTAATCAACCGCCGTATCAATAGCTAACCTGGCTAGTTGTAAACAAACAGCTGGCCGAGCGAGCTTTTCCGACTTGTTAACTGTAACGCCGTCAACTCGAGTGTGACGTCATTCCCAGCTCCGACTTCCGAGGTAAATGGAACGCAGCATATGATACATAATTTCTGTGGAGGCGATGTGTTGCAAGTAGGGTAGCCTACTTAATTTTAGTGAATGTAAAAAGTTCGTAGGCCTACTTGCTCTGGCCCTTGCTCTGCATGAAGAGAAGGCTGAAACATGAGAGCACAGACTGTCCGTACGTGGGTTCATGAGATTTTGCGGGCGAGGAAACACCTCGGCGAGTGGGCACATCGTTTCGTTCAAGATCAGATGTGCTCGGTGCAGTGTTTGTCCCGCCCCTCCTGCACTTTGATTGGACGGCTGGGTAAAAAGTGACAGTGACGAGCACAGCTTTTTTCCCAAAGTTGAACATTTTTCAACTCTCTGCAACCGGAAAAAAACGCTCAGAGCCCAGCGCGGAAAAGACGCTCAGTGCCTCATCACACTCCTGCCATTTTTACCAGCTAGTAAAAACGTGGCGCTCCCATTGGAATGAACTGAAAAAAGACGCTGGCATCAGAAAAAAACGCTTTGGTGGACACGGCCCTAAAGCGGAGCTACGGTGTGTAACCCCCCCCTGCTCGCAATTGCGGCGCACAAAAACACATGATTCGACTATCAGTCGACTATAGGCAGGACTTGACAATTCTGATTGGACTATGTAAATCCTTAGTCGGGGACAGCCCTACAAATTTTACACGTTTGATAAGAGTCCCGCCCTGAACACGTGTACAAGCCAACATTCACTCACAGTCATATTGCCACCTGCCTGCAACAGGAAGTGACCTTCAACAAAGCAGCCACTGCGGTACGTTTTACCTACATGTACGAAATTTCTGTGGTACATGTATCATGTCCAGACGTACCAAAAAAGCCTCTTGGAGTGATGCCCTAAACCCAACAGGAATTCAGCCATTTTGTATTTTATTTATTATTTTTACACACTCCCTCCTAGGGATTTTGTCCGACCGACTTCAGATCTTCCCTATCTACTCTAAAGCCATTGACGATTAAAACGTTGAGTTTTCGTAGAACAGCGTGCCCGTGGCGTGGCATCCAAAATCGATGATTCGCCATGATAGAGGAAGTTGTTGTAACTTCAGTCTACAGGCTCACATCTGCACCAAACATTACATGCTTGAAAACAGTCACGCCCCGAACACATCTATATGCCAATATTCAGTTATACTCATAGCACCAACCCAGAGGAAAAATCTTTTGCTCAAAATAGTATTTTCTTTAACTCTTGAGAAAACACTAATATCTCAGTATATCTTCTTGAGATCAATCCAGTCTGAATTGTTGCTCCTAAAACCCCTTAGGAGAAAAGGATGAGATGAAGAGAGATTGAGGTTTTGAGACTTAGGTAAGACAAATGGATACTGAATTGAGATTACAATAGGATAAATGAAAGTAACAGATGAGATCTCATCATTGTATCTTTTTGAGTTCATTAATGTCTTGCTTATTGCTCCTAAAAAGCAGTTGGGAGCTCTGGGGAGATATTTGTGAGCTTGATTGCATTACATTATTGTCTGTGCTTGGAGAACTGTGGAACTAGAGGCTTGTCCTGAGCTGGATTTGAACTCCATTCCTGCTGTTCAAAGGTCAACAACGCTGCCGCTGCGCCATCCAGCTAAAAACATGAAGGACTTATTGTCTTTAAATAAGTCAATAAGTCCTTCATAATTTTAGTAATAATAACAAATTTCCTTTACTTAAAAGAGGAGAAATACCATATCCACATTTAAAGTCCTCAAAATTCTACTCAAGTAAAAGGTATAAAAGTATTCCATAGTGAATGTACTTAAGTATCAAAAGTAAAAGTGCTTATTCTGTATGACAGATACTTGTTGTGTGTCAGTTCTTGCGTGCATTCGTTCCTTAATGAATTAATCTCTAAACATCATGTCAAAGTATTGGGTGTTCCAGTTATGCTGGCTGTGACTACTTTAACCAATTGGAAAGCATGACATTTGAAAGTGCATTATTTTCAATGTCAAAATTTATTTTATTTTTTCTCTGTAACTTAATTAATTAATAATTAATAATAAATACAATAAGGATTTGAAATTAAGGGGAGTAAAAGCCCGATAAACCCCCATAAAAAAGAAAATACTCAACCTTAACATTTGACGTAAGTAAAGTACTTGAGTAAAATAACCCCTAAGTGAGGTCACTAAGACAAAACTGAAAAATATCTTGGAGCTTTTTTTCTGATCCACATTCTGGAGACTGAAATTACACTTATTTAAGATACTGTAGAGATCTCATCTTTTGATCAGAGTAAGATAGAGATGGGTTTTTGCTCCTGAGGCCAATATGAGAAAACTGAGACATATTTGAGAAGAATCATGAGATCCCAGGAGTCATAGCTGAGTTTTCTTTGAGCTCTTTCTCTGATCTCATGGGATCTCATGGGATCAAAATCCAAGATGAGATCTCATCTTGGATTTTGCTTTCCTATGGGAAGTGCTATGTAGCGCCACAAAGAGGATACAGGAAGTAATGACACCTTTGCAGCGTCCTAAGTGCGTGGCAAATTCACAGCAACACCTGCAGAGCTCCAGAATCCTGCTAGTTGTTCATGTTCTGTGTATTATTTGATTTTCATTTCACTTCTGCCTGTCATTATTTTTCCTTTATTGGTGGATTCTGGACATTTACACTGGCCTTTTGGATTAACTTAGCTTTTTGGAATTACCTTGTTTTGTTGGACTGCTCCTTTTGGATTTGTTTGGAGCCTGAACGTCTGTTCACTATTTGTTTCATAAGAAATTATGCAACAAAGACTTCCCTGCTTCTATGTCTGCGTTTGGGTTCTAAACCTGTGTCTGAGCACACAGGACACCACATATGTCAGATTGAATGTGGGAAAATGGGTATAGAATGACACATGCTTTTTCCATGCTATTTCCATTTGACCAAGTAGTGAAACCATAAAAACATGGATTGTTGAATTTCAATATTTCACCATAAAGCAGCTTCTAGGTAAAGCTACTTAAAGGGGGAGGGACATTAGTATGTTTAAAAAAAGAAGAAGCAGAATTTAACCACACGTAACATCTCTCACAACAAAATATTCAGAAATATCAAGTTAATCCTGACATCAGGTTTATCACTGTACCTGCTGTGATCTCTTTCTCCCCTACCAGGATGTCTTTCAGTGAGAAGGGGGTCGAGGCGTACTTGTTCTTCTTCCAGAAATGCTTCTTCCTCTTCCTGGTCACGAGACTGAGTGGCTGATAGCGGTCGGCCTCGCTCAGGCCCGGGACGGGGATCAACTTCCCTGTGTCTCCAACCTGCTTCACAAAGTTCTTAGTGGCTGCTGCGAACATTTCGCGTGATGCATGAGTATCAAACCCAAACAAAACAAAAAAAATTATCTATTCAGAAACCTCCAAAGAAGACTACAGTGTTTCACACAGTGCTGGGTCTATTTGCTGGTCTTGTTTGCTGAACAGCCCTCTTCTCAATGGTAAAGCTAATTCAGGAGTGTTCTTTCAGACCTGTGAAGTGTTAAATAATGCATAGTGTAAGATAATATGGGACAAGATGTGTGTGTTAACTTGATAGGTCACTGTAGTCCTGCAGCTTCCTGTCATATGACAAATGAGGTTAAAGAAATTATAGGATCATTGTCTTACATGTTTTACATTATACATCAATTTTTTTCTCTAATTGCTGACTTAAGCTTGAATTATGAAAAGTCTATCCAGTCCTTAACAGTAGCTACCCTTTGGCTCTGCAAAACACCAAACATCTGTTTTGGCCACAAACTTTTCTCTAAAAAGCTTGAAAAATGGTCTGGATTATTTTTGTTAGGGATGTGTTTTTTGTAAGATCTAGTGTGTTTTCATTGCAGATTTTTTTAGTTTGGAGAATATCCACCTTTGACTGGGGTGTGTGTGTGTGTGTGTGTGTGTGTGTGTGTCATGGGCTGATCTTTCCTGTGGTCACACTGCTAGTCTAGTGTATACTCCCAGAAATAGCCTGTATGTTTTTAGGTTTTAAAAGCCGCATGTAAAAAGCTTTCTGCTGGGGTCAAAATAAGTCTTCCATACATTACACTCCCTGTAATTTTTACTTCTTGGCTAAAAGAAGCATGATTTAAAGATTTAAACTTTGGCATGTCTTGCCGGCTCTTGGAAACCTATTTTATTTGGTTGAATCTCAGTTTATTCAAAGTGGTGTCAGTCAGTACACACAGCTTTCAACTGGAATCACCTGGTCTAAATGAGGGGGGAGCAGTGAATTTCGTGTTAGTGTGGTGAATTTTGAGCCTCTTTCAACTAAACAGAATGAGTGAATGATACCACAAGGGCTAGATCACCAATATTAATACAGATACCACTACCATTTTTATTACTAAAAGCAGCTAATGTACTTTCATGTGGGGAGAAAGCTATTTGTAATGATTCATGAGGTGAATGCATCATCATCAGTAGGAATCTGAATACCTTTTTATTATCATACATAATGAACCGATATATTTTTATTAACTTAGAATGAGCCATTTCTAGCTCCTCTTAGATGGAAGTCGCCATGTTGCGGCACCATGTTTCTACAGTAGCCCAAATGAACAAACTGCTCTTCAGAGCACATTTTCGTTGAATATGTACAAAGAAGATGGCCAAGTAACATAAGTAGTAGTAGTAGTAGTCGTCGACTGATTTATTAGAAGTAAGAAAAGAGCAGAGATTTGGACAAATGGAGGATCACACATATTATTTAGCACAAGAGCCAACAGAGCGCGTCGGCCACTATAGCTTTTCCTACGCGCTTGGAAAGGGAGAAATGAGCGGTGCATTCATGTGGTGTTGGAATAATCAGAATCTTTTTTCTTCCTTAAATCTTTATTGAAAAAAGAGAAATAAATAGTACATGGGATAAAAAGAAGTATACAGAACGTTGATTTGTACAAAATCACGTATTGCATATTGTTAAGACTTGTGTTGGGTAATTTACTTCCAAAATGTAATACTGTATATTAGGCCTATAGATTACTAGTTACTGCAGTGTTTCCCATACGTTAATTTATTTGTGGTGGCCCGCCACAATATCAATGCTGACCGCCATAGATTGATTTTTTTTTTTTTTACTAGGCCTATTTAAAATCGTATTTTATTGCAGAGCGCCATAGCGCATTCGCGCAGCACATCCTCTCACCCGTCCCTCTCTCTTTCTCACTCACCCATCCCTCTCTCTCTGTTGCTCTCTCTCCCTCATGAACACCGCTGCACAACACAACGCTGTCAATGTCAGAGTCCCAGCAAGTTATTAGCACGCATGTAAGGAGCCTAGCTAATAAGGAGAGCTAAGTTAATGTTAGAAAACACCTGGATTTTCAAGGCTAGCATGGCTGTATATAGCTGGCAGTCAATTTCGACTGCAAGCTTTTTTCACTGCTGTTTAATTGGCACATTATTCAGTAGTAAGATGTGCCTGAATAGGTTAGTTCTAGTGATGTGCAGAGTTATATCCGAGTCTTTTTCAAAATGTTGTTTTTTCTGATTAATAGCGTCAGTGATTATTTGAATTTTCCAACAGGATCGGTCAGGATGAACTAACAGCAGCCTCGCTGATCATGAAAGTCATTCTTTAAAGCACAAATACATAGCCTATAGAAATCTATTTACGCATGATGCATCGGGGGCGCTACCGTCTTGTTAAAAGGAGCAAAGCTCTCCCGTAGTTTGCAGCCTGCCTAAAATCTTGACCATCGGATTCCAGCAACAGGAAATAACGTTACTCTTTTACTCATGGATTTGTTTTTCTGGTGCTAAAATGTTTCTCGGTGTTTGTGAATTATAAAAAAAAAAAAAAACACCACTTAATTTCGTGTTAAAATACGCCGTGACACACGTTACTGAGATTGTAACTGGTATAATATTACCAACTTTTTTTTTAGTAATGCGTTATATTACTGCGTAACGGCAAAAACCAACATCTACATTACTGTAATTGCGTTACTTTTGTAATGCGTGATTCCCAACGCTGGTTACGACTCAGCTCGGAAGGGGAAAGGGAAGCAACATAAACCAGATGGTTTTGGTATAGTAAAGTTTTTTATTAATACAGAGAGTTTAACAAAAAAAGGGGCAAGTGGGTGCTGCGTAAACCACTTAAAACAACATAACAAAAGGAGATCTTTAGAAATGAGAGTATTATCTAACTAATAAAACAACATTATGAAACAACCCTCTCTGACTGCCACGAGTTAAAAACCAAACACAAAGAGCCCAGCACCCCTAAACCTAATGAAACTAAACACAAAGAAAAAGGTGTGCCCTGGCCCAGTTTCCGAGGAGAGGACACAAGTTTATACCCACCACTGATACTTTGAGTAGGGTAAACAAACACACTAAACCCCAGTTAACCGGGGTATCTACTAATTAGCTTAAACACTAGCACAAACAATTCCAATTAAGTATATCGCACAAGTAGCACAGAGGGAAGCTGATAACAAGAATGCGAGCAGCAGGATGGCACCCTAATTGAGGAGAAGCGTTCTTGCTGGCAGCTTCAGGACTGGGGGAAGTGGTGGGGCGCCGCTCCAATCAGCAGTACCAGATGCCAAGCAGGATGTAGGCGGATCTGGCAGTATCCAGACCAATCTTCAGCGAGGTGCCACACAGCCTGATTAAAGAGGTGGTATTATGCTTTTTGGCTTTTCCCCTCTCCTTTATTGAGTTATATCTCTTTTCTGTGCATGTAACAGGTTTGCAAAGTGAAAAAGCCCAAAGTCCAGCCCAAAGGGAGTTCCCATCTCCCACAGAAAGCTCTGCTCTGAACTGCCTGAAAACAGCTCGTTTGTAGTCCAGCTGTTTCCCTTCGTTCACTGTGACGTCACAATGAAAACGCATCATAAAGCTTGCCAAGCAGTTAGCGGGGGTCAGGAACCCCCCCAAACCAAGCAAGTCTGAGCGGAGGCCCTTTGATTTTAGTTAAGCCCCATTTCCACTGCACAGTATCAGCTCGACTTGGCTCGACTCACCTTTGTTTGGTTTTCCATTGTGGAAATGTTTTTCATATCACCTCACCTCCGTCGAGGTTCCAAGCGAGCTGAGGGATACTAAAATGTAACAGAGAGAATATTCACTATTCACTACATCATCTTTGCGTGCACCAGACAGAGGCCAGCAACAGAAAGTTTTATATTTTATAGTATTCGTATGGAATTTCATCACTAAATCCACATCTGAGAAGTTTTGAGGTGAGAAATCAGCTGTGTAGACTTCGAATATTTCGGAGTTGAGGAGCTCCGCAAGTGGGGGGATGCCTGTGCCAACCCGCGGGAGGGGCTGGCGAGGCCGGCCAACTGCCTGCTCACAGAGCCCTCTGCTCCCACCATCACACAGACCGCTGCAGCAACAACGGCAGAGGAAAACACAACTGGAAGGTTTTCATACCGCTTATCTGTCTTTACATTCTAATAAATGTTGAAACGTTTTAACTTAAAAAAGAGAAAGCTGTGTGGATGGTGTGTGTGTCGCATTGAACATTACGTCGCGGCAGCTGTGTGTGGCGTCGTTATGACGACAAGCTACGTACTATCTCTGGGTACTATCTGCAATGGAAAACGGAGCAGGGCTGAGTAGAGTCGAGTCTATCGATTTGCGCTATGGTAGCAGTTTTCGGGATTTCAGCATAGATCGTCAGAACACCGGCAGCAGTTCAACGTTTAGTCCTAAAAGACGATGCAACTCCGACTCTGTTTGGGCCTGGAAATACACAATCACAATCTGTAAGTATGCTTTATTGGTTGTGAATTACTTCACAGACTGTTCAAGTGCAGAGTTGTTGTAAACGTTGGCTAACACAGCTAAAGTCATAGCTATAATGCTAATGTTACACCCAATGTGAAAGCTACTGAGCAAACATTTAAATTGTTCAGCCAATTTTTATGTAAAATTGAGTTAAAATATGGTGATTTTTGTAGTGGCTTATGGTAAGATGTGGAACAATGATGTTGTGTGGTTGTGGACTTGTGAGTAACTTAAACCATCTGTTACGGTCACAGTCTGAAGCGGCTTTGATTTGGATCACACTACCTTGTTTCTTATGACCCGCCCTTCTCTGCTTCTGATTGGCTAGTAGTCTTTACCTGGGAACTGCGCATAATTTTATACAAGTAAGATGCATCACTCTGTAGCTCAAGAGCGGAGCGTACAACACATAGGGAAGAGGAAGTGCAGCAATGTGCAGTATGAGAAAAATATGGTGTTTTTTGAAAATTAAACCATGTAAACCTGTTCTGGTACAACCCCTAATTAAGATTTTGAACCTGAAAATGAGCATAATACCACCTCTTTAACATATTACATGAAACAGTCACAGCTAAATACAAACACATTTACATATTTTGCAAACATCTAGTTTGTAAAATGGATATAATGTTGCTGTCCATGCAGAGTGAACTAGATGTCTGTGTGTTGTGTATATGCTGTGATAATGCTAATCCAACACATCTTTGTAGTAGCTCCTGTTCATGTTGAATGAACATGATGATTCCGACTGCAATTTGCAACCCTCACCACTAGATGCCACTCAAACTTACACACTGAACCTTAAATGATACACGCTAAAACATGCTATTACACCATAAGTGTGAGAGGGATACATTTTTTTGCTACTGATCCTATTGGCACTACTTAGAATAAGACTTAGTATCAGTAGTATTGCAACAATGTCTCCTAGAAATTCTGTTTATACAGTACTGAAATGTTTCCCAAATACGTTGTGGTGACAAATATAATCGCTGCCTGGATTATGTTCACAGGCAAGGTTTATGTTTAGTGAATGAAGGTTAAAATGTATGTACTACTGGGACATAATCGGATAATTTGTCTCCCAAAAAAGGTGATGAAAAGAAATCTGAAACAAACACAGGGGCTGACACTTGACCCTTGGTTAAAATGATACAGTTTATCACAATGCATAAAAAAACAAGCCACAGAAGCTGAGCCCTCATATGAAGGAGGAACTGTCTTCCCATCTGCTTGAGTTTCTGTCCCCCATGGCTCTGCCCCACTCCCTGACTCTTTAATGGGAAATCAGTGTGTTCTTCAAGCACCTTAAACACTTCCTAACTCCAGCTGTTCAGCAAAGGAAACAAGTGAAATCCACCTAATCCGCTGACAGAAATGTGACTTTAGGAAGGTTTTGAAAACTTCAAAATAAAATAATTTGTTAAGAAAACAGTATTCTGTGTATGAATCACTAGTGGAGATAACAGAGAAGAAGTCATGATGTTTGTTTTGTTCTCTATATCCGGGACATCACCTCAGGGACCGGCAACCTGCTCGACACACCGTCTTGGCAGAACTTTGCCCTGGAAAACACATCAAATGGATGTAACATGCAGACTGTAAACCACTCAAGCTGGAGTGCACAGATTTAGGTCAGCAAGAATTTCAGATAGATAGAAAAATAAACTCAATGTTGTTTTATTTTTAACACATTATTTCAGGAACAACATTGGTACATACACACATTATAAATACCAAGAATTTATTGATACTGACGGTCATTCATCTTCAACACTGACATTCAGCAGACATGAAGGAAAGTCCCTAAAGCTGGAATAATGCTTCTCGAGGATACTTATAACAGTACATGGGTGTTGTTTGTACACGTTCGCATGTTTCTTTTATACTTGAACAAATCGGGTTTATAATGTACGTGTCAACTAGGAGGCAGTGTCCCATTCAGCAAACCTCAATGTAAAGAGAAATCAAGAAACAGAAATCAAATTCACCCCCAATGACAAACCATTACATCCATGAAACAACCCTGACAGAATTTGCATTTATTAACTTTAATATTAAGATTAATATTTATTTATCAGGATAATGACAAAATGGGCCACCATCAGAAGTGCTTTGAAGATGAATTTAGTTTCCTCTGCTTGCTGCTTTGCTGGAAGATCACTTCTGGCAGCAATAAGCTAAAATGCATGCCCAAACTCTGAAAGAAACATCTGAAATTTAAGAGGTGTTTTGTTGGCTCCTCTGTGAGCCAAATAAGTTAGCAAATCTTAATTAAAAACTACCTTCTTGGGGTTAAATATGCATTAATTTATTTTTTCACCACATTGGGGCAGCTCTACATGCTGTAATCACTGACACTTAATGAAGTTGTTGGCCAACGTGCAAGCGGTTGCCTGATTACACGTCCAGCAGACAAGGAGCAACATTAGCATATATTTGGGGGTCACGTTTCAGGCTACCTGGAGTATGCAAGTCCAATATTCACTCAACATGTAAGCTCTGTGTTTGGTCTCCACCAGCGAGTGAAATATCTGGCTAAATCTAGCAGCTAGCAGCTGTTCCACTTTCTTCGCTGGCCGCTAACTTTTTCTGTCTGTCATTTGGAGCTGGGCAGGATGTGTGCAGTGGCTTAATCAGAGATTGTTCACTAAAAACAGCTCCCTGCTGCTACTGGACTGTTGATTAGAGCTGTGAAACTGAATCAAAATATTAAAGGTGTGGGCTGTAAAACCAAAATAATTAGCCAAAAGATGCTAAATTGCTCAGTAGAGCTGCAGAGTGGGTAACAATTCTTCAAACTATAAATCTTACATGTGGATTTAAATGCTTTTTTTTTAACCTTGAAGAGAAATGCTCAGCTTGAGCTTTCAAAAGTCATTTTTCAAGAGCATCATCCAGCCCATCTTCTTTCATCAGTCTTTTTGGAAAAATTTCATGCAGCCTTTAATTAGCTTCATCTTTCAAGGCAACTACCAGAGCCCGACAAGGAGGTTGGCTTTGAAATAAAGCAAGAAAAAATGATGAGAGAGGAGGAGGAGAGTGAGAGAAGGAGGGAGGTGGATGGGGGTAAAGAGGGAACTTGTTTCAGTTTGCAGGAATCGCTCATCCAGGAGCCTGGTCCACTAAGGGATATTTGGATATTTTTCGGTCTGGATGCTGTAGATCGGGGTTGGGCTCTCTCTGACTTCCTTGTCTGTCTAGCTGTGTGTGAGGACGCTGCATGTCTGGCACGCAGACATGGGCCCCTCGTTACGCTCTAGGATTACCATCTGCCTGGTCATCACCTTGGCACAGGTGATCACCGTGATCTGCCAAGAAGATACCAAGAAAGGTGAGTGACAACCGCCCAAATATGACTGCTCCTTCTGTCCTCTGATTGGTTTTCTGTGTTGATACCTGATATGTTTCATTTGCTGACAGGTTCATGCAAAAATGCAATTCACTCAGTCTTTGTCTAACTCACTCACACTGTCTTTATTTTCATTGCTGGAAATGCTGTATCTAAACGGTTGTTTTCTGGATGACTCTTGACAACAATATTTCCTCCAGATTTGCTGTCCTCTAATGATTCATCATTTGGTAACCCTGCCTTGAGAAAACATTTACCTCTGTATTTTCATTTTATGAAAGTGAAATGTTTTCTTATGGTTATGTTTGTTTTTCACATTATGTTCTTGGTTTATGACTTTGCTTTTTTTCAAAATTTAGGAGGTAGTCTGGGAAGTCTCTCATCTCTTGTAGATTTCCTTCTTCCTGTTTTAGTTTATAAGTTAAACTGGGCTGCTCTGCCTTGCAACAACCGGACCACGCTGACCTTGTGGTTTGGGAACTAAGGTTAAAATCACACCCACACTCTAGACCAGAAAGGCTTATGGTGCCTTAATGAGAAGCCATTTTCCTGTTCGTGAAGCCACTAAGGGATGATTAAGAGTGTGTTCTTGACACACAATATCTTGTGAGAGCTGCAAACGTTTGATTAGAGATGAAGAAAGTGATAGCAAACTACAAGTTTCATTTATGTCTGATATTGAGGGTAACCTGGCCTCATACTGCTGAGACAAAATCATCAAATCAACATGATTTCTAAAAGATGGAGATGTGGCTAAACTAAAACAAAATTTCCCAGTGAACGTGATCCTGGGTCAAAAATATCTTCCCCCCTACAGGCTGCAGTACACTCTGAAGCATGTGCAGGGCTTGCTGGGCTATTTCAGTGCAAGGTCGAGGCAGAATGATGGGGTTTCATGTGCCATGGCTATAATGATGAGGTCTTGTGGATGGGATGGACAAAAGCAGGCCACTAATTTTGGTCAGACTCCGGGCCAGAGGCAGACAAGACACACCCAGAGTAAGAAGATGCTAGATATAAAATATGCCTCACTTCTTCCATCTAAGTTCACCTCCACTGAAGCTGTAAAAGGAGAAAGACTCTACTTATAGATGTTCAACTACGTCTGAGTTTATTCTTCAAGGTTTTGACATGTGGTTGCGACATTTCTCCATCGGTGGACTGACAGGTGTTTCACTACAGGCCCAAAACTGAGGAAAGGGTGCAATTCTAGCAATAAAAAAGATGGAAAATCAGTAAAATATGACAGTAGTTTACTTCCTTCCTTTTTTTTTTTATCTCAAAGAGACTCTTCCAGCCTACACAGTCCCCTTATGGTCTTGCTTCACCCTGCCTTAGAATACTTAGATTGCTGCTACTATTGCTGTAACTACTACCGCGTTAGCAAAGATACTAATTTGGCTCTTTCTGACTTGTTACAATGATATACATAAGAAAATAAAAAGTAAATAAACAGCAACAGAGGGAAACAGACTGGCATTGTCTAATGGTAAGCACCTCTCTAACTGACATGTTATATCTTGTTTGTTTAATCCCTACAAAAACCGATCCATAAAAACAACACAGTAATCTCTGGGGGGTTACGTGTTGGACTATTTTTTAGTGCAGTTTACATTATGGCTAGCTGTTTCCTGTATTTGTACTAAGCTAAGCTAACCAGCTGCTGGCTGTAGCTTCATATTTATGAATCTTATGTAACACCCTAAAGCAAATACCAAATAAACATAACTTTTCCCTTCAAAAATACCCTTTTCTCTGCTCTCCTGTCCCAAGTCCCACTGATCACTTGTGGGGGTCCCAATCTCTAGGTTGGGAGGGTGGGAACCAATAAACAACATGATGAGATTTAGTGCAGAAGATGACAAATTTACAGTCTGATCCTATATTTGTAGGTCACTGTATTTCCCACAAGCGTATAAAAACAGTAACAAGCCTTAATAGGTGGCTGCACTATAACCATGATGCTATTATGAAGGCAATGAAGACTGTTTCAACTCAAGTATGATTTATGAACTCAAAAGTCAAGAGTAATTCTAGTATTGTTTTAAGCTGAATTCAGACACTCTTTTGTTTCAGAACCAGGTGTGTCAGCTGCTGTGAAGGAACTGTGCACTGAGATTTATGATACTGGCAGTCAGCTTGTCAAGATGTCGGCTGGCCATTTAAGGTTTTAGTGTGATGTTCTTGGCTTAGTGTTTAAATGTGTGTGTTTGTTTGAGTAAGAAAAATGTAGAGAGCCTAGACTTTAAATGGGAGACAACATCAGCAGGTTTAAGTTTATTTAGGTCTCTCTCCCCAAGTTGTTTCAAGTTTTAAGGCACGTTAATGCTAAAACATTTTATAAACTCAATATTGGATTTAATCAACTATTAATATCGATATTGTATGGCACTGTGCCCCCAACACACGAATAATCAGACTTTCTGGCTTTTTAGATGTGACACTTTAAATTAAAGCATTGTCTTCTGTGACCCTCTATGTGTGGATATAATGTTGAATGCAATGTTTTTGTGAATGAATGTATGGGCATTCTTTAGTAGTTTCATTTAAAAGATTGAGGCCTGAGGAGATGAAAGTAACAAGTATTTGACAAGAAAACAGCAAAGACTATCTCTAGTTTTAGCTTTTTTTCTTGACAGAAACTGAAAAAAAAAAACATGATTTAACTGGTGTGTGACTGTCTTAGTTACCTGACTGCATATTGCTTAATAATAAACCTGAGGTGAGGTGGTTGGGGCGTCTGCAAACCACAAGGTCAGAGAGCTGCACGGACAGTTTCCACTTAAAAAGAAGCCCAAATTCAGTCATGATAATTGCTCTCATACTGTGTTTTTGATCCATAATCACATTGAAATGCATAGAAAATATGGTTTTTGATCATAGGAGTTTGTTGGTTATAATTCTTTTTAGTTATTGCAAAGCTTCAGTAGTAAAAAATCAAATTTATCTGCAAAGCTCAATAAAATCAATGTTTTGTTTCCAAAAACAAATCAGTTGCAGAAGGGTAGAAAACTAACAAATGCTGGGGGGGGGATCTCTAGCTTTCCTCTGTGGCCTAAACAACCTGCAGGTTAAAACTCCAGCCCACTGTTCTATACCAGCCTGCGAGCTGCTGGCTGGGCTGAAGCAGCTTTCGCAGCAGGAGGGTTCTCCGGGTGTGGCACTTCAATGCTCTCCTAAATAAAGGCAAGCCGCAAGTTCTACCCAAGCCAAACGTATAATAGAGCCTCTGTGGTTTTCCCTGAAATAACTCCTGCTTTTGAAAACCAGCCACTCTTGCGTGGGAGAGGCTCCACCACATAATTAGTACTTAGAGGACGTCACTAAATTGCTTGGATTAAAATGTGCTCACAAAGCTGGTAGCAGGTGGCCATATTTGCTTTTTCTCCCTTATTTTCAGCTTTGTGCTTTTTCCTGCTACTTTTCTTTCTTATATCTAAAGACTGATGGACAAAAGAGGGTCCGGGATTTTGATCCTTGACCTATAGGGGACAGATTGCCAAAGTGTAAAATATCCCCTTTACATTGCAAAAAACATTTATTTTCAGCTTGCATGACTTTGAATCTTAATTTTTAAAGCAACAGAAACTGTGCAAATAAGTATAATTCCCGTTCTGAAATGTTTTTCTTCCTGTGTTTGAAAGATTATGTTGGTATTACATAATTATTAAAACAAGTCGAGAAGAGTACACTGGTGGTGGATTAAGCTAAAATTAGGGTAACACCAACTGATGATATTTATTGTGTGAAAATCTTATTTTTCTTGAAATAAACTTTCACTTTTTTATTGACATTTATGCATTTGTACCCCCCCCCCCCCCACCCACACACACACACACACACACAAAATAAATTATAGGATTCCATGGGTACATTTATGGCATACCTCTTCACTAAATGACATAGATGGATTTATGTCCCATGATGTGCTAACATGAAAACTCTAGGTCTCATCCTGTTTTATGGTTACAGTCGGAGACATTGCTGGTGCAAAGATGATTACATTCTTGCATACAGACACATTTATAGACAGATTTCCACCCAGGAGCTGTCAAGTTCAACCACAGTCTAGTCACTGACTTGCTGGCTTATTGAAGTGCCTTGCTCATGTGCAGCTCTGTGGCAATTTGCCTTAATATGTATGTCTGTGCCAGAGGACATCTCTAACTCTTCAAAGTGATACATACATAAGTCTCAGTTTAGTACCACATTTTTGGTTTTCCATTTAAATCAAGGAGCTGCCTGTCTTCCCCTGAGGGGAGATTTACCTAAAATGTTTTGATGCTCATTGTTGTTTGTTTTTAGCCTAATTTTAGCAACAACCAAAATGTTATAAATATACACATCAGAAGCATTTCATGTCATTTTGTTAGTGCACATATGACATTAAGAACATTTTCGAACTGCTATGCATGACTAAAACTGACATGACTTGTTGATTTTAAAAACTGACGCATAAAGGGGCTCAGTGAAGGGATCAGGCATGTAGTCATGAATGATCTGTTGCTTGTCATTTTATGGTAATTTTATTGTTTGTGTTTTTCTGTGCTTTTGTAGGCTATGTATTTTTAATTTTTTTTTGTATTTTTAAAGGTGGTGCAGTGGTTAGCACTGTCGCCTCACAGCAAGAAGGTCATGGGTTCAAACCCCGGTTGCCCCGGCCTTTCTGTGTGGAGTTTGCATGTTCTCTCCGGGTGCTCTGGCTTCCTCCCACCGTCCAAAGACATGCAGGCTAGGTTGATTGGTTACCCTAAAATTGTCCTTAGGTGTGAGTGTGAGTGGTTGTTCATCAATGTGTGGCCCCGCGATGGACTGGCGACTTGTCCAAGGTGTACCCCGCCTTGCGCCCGATGTCAGCTGGGATTGGCCCCAGCCACCGTGACCCTGTACGCAGGATAAGCGGTTGATGGATGGATGGTATTTTTAAAGGGCTGTGTGGCATTAGTTCATGCTATATAAAATAAGTATTAAGTAAAATAATT